TGGTTGGATGAAAATGTTAGAGTTAGAGTAGAAAAGGAAAGACAGAAACAGAAACAAAGATATATATACTATATACTATATACCATTTCCTTTACATATACCATTTAGATATACCATCACATATATACCACTTACGTATACCATCGCATATGTATCACTTACATAACCATCGCATATATATCACTTATATATGCTATCACATATGTACCACTTACATATATATACTTACTTACTTAATATATATATGCTTACGTATATATAGGAAGGAACATAGTCATTCGTACGCATACACAGAAGTTTGAACAATGCCGAGTCAATATTACCTCTTTTCTTAGCCTTTATATACGTATTTTATATTCATTGCATTTTTGTGTACACATACATTACATACATACACACATGGCTACTGTTATGACAAATATTACTATTATATCTGTGTAAAATGTCTATGACGCATGTAGTACCTACGAAACTTGATGTTTCTCACAAATTTATTTCTACATACATGTGTGCGCTCGTGCATTTAATAATATTCAATTTTTTGTTTATCTTTTTTTTTTCTTTTTTTCGAAAAATTCTCAGAAATTAAAATGATTCCTAATTGTTTCTTTTTTCCTCGCCATTGTTTTCCAGTTTTTTTTTTTTTTATATATTTAATTTACGTTAAACGTCATATGAATGGAAACGTCATGGATTATTCGCGTGTTACTGATATTCTCAATTTTGTAGAGTTTATTTCGTTTTATATTAACACTATTTAAGTTGGTAATAGTATATGTTTATATACATGTATCTCTGTAGTTTTTATTTTTTCTTGTTATTAAATTATTAACTTATATTTATATTACAGTCCATTTTTTTTTTGACAAGAACAAAACTACTTCGAATAAAGTATTGAAAAAAAAACTCACACACATGACATATTACTCTGTGAAACATACCTACTTGCATCTCCGAGGTATACTTTTTAATCATTTTTTGGCAAAATCAGAAGAAACAGTCCTAATTGAACACTTTTATCATTAAATCAAATATCATTATTTGTTTTAACAATAAAGATGAATATCTAAATCGTATTTGTGTAAAATTAAATCAACACCAAATGTACGATATCAAGTTAAAACGTCACATAAATCATCAAATAAATCGATGAAGTCAAATATAAATTAAATTTTATTGTAGTTGAGATAATATAAAAAGAAAAGACGATGACTATTGTCATCTATCACGAAATGACAACGTGCTTCTCTTCGGATAAAGGTGCTGAGACATCTAGGAAATGACCACTTACAATAAATGATGAGAGATAACGTTTAACAATACATTTATCCCGATATCCAAGAATTACTTTATTTTTATTTCATTATTTTTTGGTTTCTTCTTTATATTTTTTAATCGTTAAACGAGTTACGCGATAAATTGAAGATATATTGATTGATACTTGATCGTATTAAAGTATTATTACAAATAAATCACGATTATGTCGGATTATGTATTAATTAATAATGTTAGATTATTGGAAAACATTTATCAATATTTAACTATAAATTTTCTATTATTTTTATTATTTATTTTCTCGTATCATCTTTAATCTCGTTATTATTACATATAATTCTATAAAATTATATGATTTAAATATAGAAATATAATACGAAAAATAAAATAATTAGCAGGAAACAGTGTCCGATTCGTGTTTAATAAATTTATTTATATAAACTTAATATTATGTCAATGTGTATGTTATTATATAATATATATTTAAATCATCTAAATCTATATATCTTAAAATAATTCAATAAAATTTCCATCTATAAGTAATTATAATCAGAATTATATTATAGAAACAATTTAATCTCTGAAATATTATATATTAACATAATTAATATAACATTATTTAAAATCCATAGATATAACATGATTCATAAAAAGTATTGAACATTTTTCATTTACAAAAATAATGCATATGAAGGAAGTAACGTTATGAAAAAAATGACTAGAGATTATTTTCAATAACGTTTAATAAATTTAACAAAGAATTTTTAGCATAAAGACGAAAAACGTGTAAATAACACAGAAATGTTTGAATACGTATATTCGTATATAACCTATAGTTCAATAATAAAATAGAGAAGTTTCGCCGCATAGTGAGTTAAAAATAAGATAGTTCACATTGGCTATTCTAAGCACGTGCTCTCTTACTTATTGCTTTATCTTGTCCTCGTGTATTGTACATCATCATACCTCGTGCGCAAACACGATAAACGTTGCAAATTTCATTTCTAAGAAAATAATTAAATTCCAACCCTCCTTTCGTATCTTTAAAACAAAAATTATTACGAAATTATGTATTACATTAATCCCCTTTAAAAACATTCAATGCAAGTTTTTATTTATAAATATATATATATGGGTCATTCCATGTCAAATCGACAAATTTTTTACCTGACCCCCTTTGATTTCGCTGAAAATTTTCAATCTTTTTCTACCCCCCGAAAGTTAYTTTTCWGAATTTTTTCAAATTTTTTTTCCCGACTCAAAAAAAGTTATGAATTTTTGAAAAAAACCGCTCTTTTATTTTTAAATTGCCAGAACTTTTTCAAAAATTGACCGTTTAGGAACTTTTTTTTTCAAAATTTTTGTTTTTAAATGTAGTTTTCGAAAAAAAATATGAATAAATTTTCAGAATCCCAGATATATGAAATATTTTAGTTTTTTTGAAAAACCCGTAACATATATATATATATATATATACAATATAATATATATAAATGTATTTATGTATTCGTTATGCATTAATTATCCATTATATTGTCCAGATTTGAATGATACTGTTCACGAAAAGGTCACAGTATTATAAACTATTGAATTTGTCTTAACGTATGCCAATATATTATAAAAAAAAAAACACAGAAAAAGAAAGTGCAGGGTTCTATTTAAAAAAAATTAATTTGACATTGAACTTTTCTCCAAGCAGACGACCTGCAAAAACCAATTTACACCATGTGATGTTCCCCTTAATACCAAGCAAGACACTACTCGATCGTCAATTACGAAACAATTCGTGAAAATAAAAAGAATTATAAAAATATACTATTGTTCCAGTAAAAAATTGAGGTCACCTTTATTTTTATTTTTTTTTTTTGAATGGTATCATATAAATTTATCTACGGAGTAAGTGGAGATGACATTGAAATCAATTCGTTGATGTAGGTCATAGAATTAAGGTATATTTATAATATAAGGTATATTTATTTATTAATTAATTTTTGAAAAAATGTTATTTTTCAAATAATAAGTGTCTTTTTAAACTTGTAAATCTAACATTAACGTTATTCAAATTTACAATATTTTGTCATAGAATGTAAATAATGCATACAAAAAATATAACTGCAATCATTTGTGACGATTATTATAATTTATTAATTAACAAGATTCAAAACTTTTCATCTAATTCGTGTATATTTTTTCTAGAATTCTTTTTTTGTCGAATTAAATCATAAAAAATGTATTTCCAAGTACGAATTATTCCTTAAATTATTTCCATACGTGAAACGAACTGGTATATAAGAATTCACGTGAAACTTCTCCCTTCGTTTTCTTTGAAATTTCTTATATCTCGAACAGTCCTGATGAAACCCCCCTAACTGTCTAGAATTTAACAAAAAAATGTCGGTTTCCTGTCAACTTGACTCTCCCCTTGTATTTGTTAAAATATATTTTATGATTTACTTTGAACGATGTTTTAATCGTATTATTAAATAAATTATATAATTGATTTGTGTGTGTTTCAACACTTAATCATCTGTCATAATTATCAGCAAATATAATTACATACTAGTACAATTAACATATTACTTCAAACATTTAACGGGTATAAATGTTAAAAATAAAATTCTAACAAATGATTAAGTACTAGAAGTAGTAATAGTGTCAAAATAAAAAATAGTGTCGACCCGATGTTGTCAATCTAATTTAAGAAAGAGCACAGTCACGATCGTTATTTTTAAGCAGGTCAGTGTAATGGAAGTATGCATGTACGTATATAAGTACTTACCTTACACATATATATATGTATATATAAATGCATGTCCATTGATACTACACATAAATACTTTGACTATATTACTAAAAACACGATGACACTGATTTGTTTGTTTGTTTATGTTCTTAGATAATCTCGGAATAATAATAGTTCCTGGTTTGTACAAAATATATTTCCATTCATTTTTGATCGTATCGAAACTTATGCATTACTGCTCATGCATTCTTAATTATTCGATCTCCATCCTATCGACGTTTCATCGAAATGCAGAACTTCGTTTTTTCTTTGATTAATAATTACGTATTCCATTGGCCGGATAGTTTTTTTTAAATCATTCAAAGATAAAATTTTTATATATATACTCGAGATATATATTTTTATTAAAAATATTTTTATTTATTTATAATTTATTCTTATTTATAATAAATAAAAATATATGTATTTATCAATTGATACGAATATAATATTAAATAATCACTTGTAAAACAACAAATTTTTTAATTAAAACGCTATTAAATATCATTAGATAAGTAATCATTAAAATTTTTCATATAATGATTAATAATCTATAAAAATTTTTGTAATCAATCGAACACGAAATTGAGGCTAAAAATCATGCACACGTGGACTCTGTGAAAATATATACCTTACTATTACACATTATTTTAATTTTAATTTGTTGTTTAATTTTAATATTATCACATCTTAATACATCTATCAACTTGAATACGAAAATTTATTGAAAAGCATGAGCTTTCAATTAACACAGTATTCCCTGTATTATTTCAATAAATATAATGTTGCAGTATTTTTAAAAGAAATCATTTAAGATCTATAATTTTGTGTGTGACGAGTTTCACAATTTTAGTCTTAATTTATTTATATACGTTTCATTGATTTAAAATAAATTATAAATAATTTAATGATAACATTTCGTTTCTTTTGTTTTGTTTTTCAGATCCACCAGTCGACAGCGTTTATATGATATGCGGCGTGCTGATAGCTATGGCATTAGTCGGTGTTATCATCGTCCTACTTGCCGTAACAATCAGGTATAAAAAAGGATTCTCTAAAATAATTTATTCGAAAATGATCTATACGACATTATTACTAGACTTTTACACAGATACACAGATAATTACACTAATACGTTAATCGTTATTTGTTTAATAAGGACAAATTAGAAAATGTCATTTTAACCAGAATTAAATGACACCTTCGCGATTACGTTTCTTTCTTCGTAGAAATGAATCATTGACGAATAATCGTGATTTTCATAAACTAATTAACTTTTTTCCTGTTAAGTTAAAGACATCTTAATTATCTTATTATCTTAGAAAAATATTGATCAGTCATCAACTTGTCTGCTATCATTAAAACGGGCCAATAAAATCTACGAATTAAAAGAATTCAATTCTCACACAGATGTTGTAATTAATGAAAACATATATATTTCAATATTTTGAAAAAATTAAATGTTTTTTCTTTTTTTATTCGATACACTCTTTCTATAATATAATTGTCATTTATTAACACGATCACTAAAGACAAATCACGTGTACCTGTTTGATAATATTCCATATCAAAATAGGGTCAAACACAAAGTGATCTTATACTGTCGGCCAATTAACGCCGTCTGCATTGTAACACACAAATAGCTACTATAAATATATATATACATAATACATATACATATATATTTAATATATTAGACTAATACAAATCTATACTGAGTGATTCAAAATAATTGGCAATAACTTATGAGCCTATAAATTCATGAATTATTATCAATTTTTGTTTGTTAAACACACATTATTATTATTAATTATTAATAATACAAATGTAAAATTATATTTTATAATAGCACATATTTAAAATGTGACTGCTTATTTCATTTATTCCACTGTAATATATTTTTAACGAGAATTCTTTTTCTCGCAAATTTTATGGAAACAGGATAAAAATAGATTTGATCCTTCAGAAGAGTATTAATCATCAATTAGGAAATCTATTAAAAATTCATACGATTAACATAATTATCGAACGGACTTTTACAATAGCTGTTTCCACAAAATTTTGTTTGAAGATGTTTGGTTTCAATGTTATCTTAAACGTATTTATTTTTGAATATATGTTCTATATATTATAATTTTGTATTTGTATAATTAATTAATTGAAAAAGAAATTTTATTTCTCTTTGATAATTTTGTTAAATTTTAAATTTCTTAATTTTGGATCACTCTGTATACATACATATAAGATGATGACAAAAGTCATCGATGCGTTTCTATTGCTCTTGCATAAAAACGTTTACTTACTAATGATCAATCGTTAACATATTTCGAATGAAAAACCCAAGTTATATCCGCGTTATTGAGAATATTTACATCAACGTAACAAATGCTTAGACTTTAGCAATAGGGAAATAACGATCTTCGAGAAAATTACGTCAAATGAAATTAATATTTTTCCTTTTGTATATTTGTATTTCTGATGATATTTTGGAGGAAATAACAATTAAATAAAACGAATACCCTATTATTTATACTTACTTTTTATTCTTCTAATTCTGAAAAGAATTTTTCTCAATAAATGATATATATCGATTTAATTATAAATATTTTATTTTTGTTTCCTATAATAATTATTCAATCAAGTTTGTTATTATTAACCGAGAGAGTTAATCGATATAAATAATATCAATCTTCTTCTTCATTTGCGTTTATTTTTATTTTTTCTTCTTTTATTTTATTTTATTTTTCTACTAGAGAGAGTTATCTGACTATAACTTTTGTGATAAAAAAATTAAATGACATTTTCCACGACCGATTGAGTTCTATTTTTGGTTTTATTATTTAATAATTATTCAATCAAGCTTCGAATTATTATCCGATTGAGAATCAATATAGAAAGTTTAAAGGGTAACCCTTTTGTAATAGTTACCCATCGATATCATAGCTAGGATGATATTATTTTTCTATGACGTACTATTTTTATAAAAAATCAAAGTAGTAGAAAAGCAATGTTTACGGTCGACCTCGCATAGTTACATTCGGTTTCTTTGACAATTTACGTTACAGATAATACGATGACGTTACTTCATACGCTATATATTACGTCATATCTCGTCCTCAATTTTATAGAATACGTATTATACATATATACAATACTTTCAATAAACATTTTGCTTTTTTTTACGTTACGTCATAGATATCTACTTCCTTTAAGAAATCTTCAAGTATCTCGATAATATAATATAAAACACGTGTGAGTATATTCCTAAAGAAATACATGTTTTCAGTAAGATCCGTTAAACGTAATTAGGTACAATCACAGAACTTACAATTACTTGAGAGTAGCTCTGACATAGCAATGCAATGTAAAAGACGTCTGTATATGTGTGTTCGTATATGTATACATATATATATATATATATATATATATATATATATATATATATGTATATAGAGAAAGAAAAGCCAATAGTAAAGAAATACAAAAGTTAAAAAATAACGCACAAATGAAACGATGAAACGTAATAATCATTTTGCAAATTTTATTCATCGAAGATAATTAAACGGGACAATATGTATGTATGTTGGAAATAGAAATTCTTTTCAAAGTATTAATAACGAATACGTACAATTAATCGCAGCACCCCCATTTGATAATTATAAACGATAGAAATTTTATTTTTACATTTGAAATCTTATAAATAATCATTTTACTTCTAATGATTTCATACTTAATCAGGATTATTAAAACGTGTCTATTTATCATCTAAATTACTCTCCTACGTGTATACTAACACACCGATAGCATCTTAATTCTATTATTATATAGACCATTAACTTAATTAAAACAACTCGTGTGCTACTAAGAATAGATATTTATCGTGTATTTATTTCACGTGCTAATTTCCAAATTAATTCGTTGCTAGATGAAAAATATATACGAAATCGTCTGTTAGTCGTTATATTTTTGGTTTTTTTTTTTTCATTTCTATTATATTTCATTTTTTTTTTTATATTCTATCATTGGGGTAATAACGATTAATTCAATTTCGTATACAGATAAACAAAAATTTCAAATAATCACAAATATTTATGAACGAATCAATAAGTAAATTTCTGCCAGTTTAGCATGACTCATTAAACGTTTATCGCAATATCGGGAAATACTAAAATCAGCACAGATAAGTTATTAATAAAAGGTACTTATATATCAATTAACAAGAAGACAAAGATATAGGAAGAGAGAAAGTGGAAATAAAAGATAAAAAGTATGGATTTCTTGAGATTAAACGGAAATATAATTATAAATCATGACAGATAACGCATTTTTATATTTCTTTTTTCTTTTTCTTTTTTCTTAACTCCATTACATACGTTTACAAATTTTCGAATTTTATATTATTAGCTTTAAACAAAAGCATTTTTTTCTATATATATATATATTTAATCCAATGATACTATTTTGCATGAATATCCATAATTACGTCAAAAGTATTATTTAAATTAGTGTATTTAGTACGTGTATATACAGACGTACGCATACACATATATAGATGCTTTTGCACATGAACCGTCTCTTGGATTGGATCACATACATACACACCCAACATATCCATTGCGAACAGAAATAGACTTTAATTAAACCGACCACATTTATCGTAGCTTTTTGTGGTCCGTAATATATATGTCTCGCGCGAGGTCACCACGAAAGAACCCATTTTGATGGCCTGTTAATTAAGTTAGCAATGATAGTCTTACATTAGTCGTGTATTTCCTTGTTTGTAAGGTGTTAATACAAAACAAAAAAGAATGAAACGGAAAATGAAGAAAGAAAAGGATAAAAAATTACAATTCCTTCGTTATTATGTTTCCTCATTTACTAATTTAAGGAAGTTTCTATTTTCGTATAGATATTAGTTATATATATATATATACAATACATTTGATTAACTTATGAAACGTAATCGACGAACTGTCAATAACGACGATTGACGAGTAATAACAAATATGAAATGACATTTAACCGACAATTTTTAACGTTTTATTATTCTTTCGAAATATTCTCTTCCAAGTGTTTACCTCCATTATAATAATCGCACACATATGCACTGTATTAACAGAAATTATCCGCTATATTACATACGAAATGGTATATACATATATATATGTATGTGCATACGTATCTATATACATATATATATAGAAATAACATTATACATATTGAAGGTAAAAGGCAACGTTCCTTGTTTCCAAGCGTGTAACGTTGCACGAGTCATTTTGGAAGGGGCCCCTCTCTCTTTCTTTCTCTCTCTCTCTCTTTTCTCGTTCACCCGATTCGTGGCCTTCCCCAAGGAGCGCCAAGCGTATATATATATATAAAACGAGTTAGTGTACGTTTATTTCTCTCTTTTTCTTGTTCATATTCTCTCTCTTTTTCTTCATGGGAGGAAAAAAAGAAAAAAACGTTATACGCGCGCGCGACAAAACGTTCGAATTTCACTTAGCAGCGCCGCGTAGCGACGAAAACTAGAATCCTCGGTGCTCCAATGAGAAGAACCGTCTAGCGTGACGTCAGAACAACGAATATAAGAGGCTTACGCGCCCTTCTCGGGCTCAGACTCGAAACACGAAAGAGACCGAGAACAAATTGTCGGCCGGTTCGCAGTGAGTGTGTCTATTGAGGGCGCTCGCGTGCGCGCTTGCCGTCGAAGATAGAAACGAGGAGGAGGAAAATATAAAAGCAAATAATAATAATAACAACAACAAATTAAAGGAGCGTGCGTGTATCACATACGTACAAAAAAATAATACATATATTATATATATATTTATACTCATCTAATATCTACATATATATGTATGTATTCCTTGAAACATCATCAACCACTCTGCGAGGCGTTTCTATGCGTTCCATATTTCATCGCGTGGTAAAAAGAGTGCTCGACGAAGGTGCATCGTGTCTCTAAGAAGAATAAGAGAGAAAGAGAGAAAAGACGTTCAAAGGCACCCTCGCATATATATATATATACATATATATATATATGTGTGTTTAATATCGTGACTAGCTTCGAATCGAGCAACATGTTATTTTCAAAAAATTAACTCGAGATCGTAGACTTGGATAGGACGAAAGATACAAAGGACAGAGAAAGTTAAAGAAAGAAAGAAAGAGAGAGAGAAAAATAGGCTGACGACCGATTTTCTACGGGAACTCGGAACGAAACGGAACGAAAAATAGAGAAAATAAAAGAAAAAAAGAGAGAAAAGATGGTTGGAAGCAACGGTACGATGATAGCCATACGGCTTGTTCGCAGCAAACTGAGGAAAAGGGAGGAGCATCATTCAAATGTTGTTCATCCCGAGGATGCAACTGTTGTACAAACTGCAACAGTTTCGGCATCCACAGCGACGATTTCAACGATCGGTCCTACACCACCGCCGCCATCGGTTCAGCTGGTCAACGAGCGATGCTTGTCACAGGTGACAACCACCGGTGATGGTACATCCTCCTCTGGCTCCCCAGCTCCCCCCACCGCCATAACAACGGTCAACACCGCTGCTACTACTACTACCACAACCACCACCTCTACAAGCATCGAGCACGATGGTGCTGCTTATCCGATTGCCAACACGCAGGACCAATTCGTCTGGCAGTTCCCACCACCTTATCCGCCACCACAATATACATTGTCCTATAACGATCAGGTAAGTGCACCATACTAGAATTACTTTTTTTTTCCTTCATTTTTATTTTATCCAAAATTCTTATCCTTATTCTTATAATCCTCAAGGTTCTAATAATATTATGTGTATTCCTATTCCTTAAAATATTTAATAACATTTTACCTATGACCAATTTGTATGACATTAATGATTGCATATTACAAGTAAGTCGCATAATTATTCCTACTCGTCTCTCTATATCGTCAATTTGAATTAATCAATATTTTTACATATTAGCGCAAAAGTTTTTACATTATTTATACAAAGATATCAATTTAGGATTATCGAACTTTCAAATTGATATTAATTTTATCTAGGGAAGGGGGGATATAAAATAATAATATATAATATTTTTGCCAAACAATAATTTACCTCCGATTTTAAGTAAATCGATGATAGAACAAAATGACGTAGCAAAAAAAGAAAAAAAAAAAGAACGCTTCAAAGGGGGTTTGATTAATTACGTTAACAGCGGCGCGTTTATATCGTTCAATGCGAAATGTGCAATACAAAAAAAAGGAAAAACACTTGCACTGTTATTTACTAATTCGTTTTGACGGTGGTTTTCTACCACGAGAAAGAGAAACCTTACGACAGTAGTTACCACAAATTCTTCTTCCAAGGCAGTATATTTACCGTAAGAGAAGAATGATTCGTAAGATCGAGTATCGTTTTAAACAGTGTAGAGAAAAACGAAGCGCAAGGACAGTGACCCCTGAGGCGCAGTGTGATGGCTCCTTCCTCCTCTTCCTCCTCGTTTCTGATGAAGAGAACCTTACTATACCACCTTTGCTCGTACTCTATTTTTATGTCGGATCGAACCGTCGTCGTCTCTCTCTCTCTCTTTCTCTCGTGAGAACGCACCGTTCATTCTTTTTGTTCTTTCTGTCATTTCTCTTCCGTTTCTTTTTTTTTCTTTTATTTTTTATTTTTATTTCTTTTCCCTTTTCTCTCCCTTTTCATTTTTTGTTTTCTTTTTTTTTTCAAATTTTTTCCCTACCCTTCTCCGTGTCTAATAATAAATGCAACCGAATGTACATTTCCTTTTTTTTTTTTTTTTTTTTTTTTTTTTTTTTTTTTTTTTTTTGAGAAAAAATAGAACGTTAATAGGATGCATAGATCTTTTTTTTATTTATATATATACACTCGATTACTTTTACATTAATTTGTCTGCTCGCGTGTTAAAATAATAAATATATATTTTTTTATATTGCCAAGCAGTTTACATAAAAAAAAGCAGAAAAAATAATGTAGGTTAAATAAAAATAGATTGATATTTTGATAGCCAAGACGATTTGCATTACTGGTAGATATGTTTGATATGTTTGTTATTTTATGAAATTACAAGACATTAATAAATATGTATATATATATATATATATATATCAACGTTCTACTCGACATCACCGTTTATTTCTATTTTTAATACTGCTCTTACTTTGCATATGTTATCGTAACTTCAAAAAGAAGAGACAAGTGCAGATTTACAAAGGTCATAAGTCAAATTATTCAAATAATACGAGAATTTAACATCGATTAGTATAATAAGAAAAAAGAGAAGGACAACAAAATATTTGATACTTCTATTAAAAGGTATATAAAATAAAAGATATTTCGTATATAAAATATAATTAAAGGATATACACCCAATTCTGTTTTTACACGAACTTCTTTTACACGATTTTGATTTAACATAATCGACCCAAAAATTCTAAGAAGTAAATTTAATTAATAAATGATAAGTTATAGTTTTTTAAAACCCTTGTTTTATTAACTTCTTAGCTTACAATATTGCCTCTGAGACGTTGTAAGTCAACCAGGCCAAATGTAATCAAAGTATTTCATGTTAAAAGGAGTCGTTGAGTGAAGCAGATCTCAAATTGTTCTCAAATTTTTCACACTTGTAGTAGTCCATGAGAAATATTCATTGTGCCTTTAAACATGACGTATATATTCAGCCGTTTGCAAAAAAATGCGAATTGAAAATTAACAATGAATAAAATCTTTTTATGTGTAACTGATATTATCTTGCCTAATTTTTGTGTTCATAAATTAGTAACACTGATGTGAATTAATGATTTTTTTTTTTCCTTTTCAAATGATAATTTATTTTGTACGATACATGTGCGATCTTTATGAAAGAAAATGTTTAAGATCCTAATATGAAAACTTATAAGGTTTATTGTATTATTTTTGTTGATTTCTTGAGACTGGAATCAATCTTCTATTTTTCCATAGATGCAATATATATATATTTTTTTTATACGTATTCTTCGGGAACGTATCTATCGTGTAAAAACAGAAAAAACAAAATAAAATTGACACAAATGAAGTTTTAAATATTTTAATGATTATTAAATACAATTATAGTATCAATATTATTGATTTAGCAAGGACGATAGGCGTGGTGTTGTATATAGTCCAGTAAAACGGTCGTGTTGTGTTGCTTATCAGGAAAAATCAGTAGATATTGCGATATATTCGGATAGAGAGAGAGAGAGAGAAAGAGAGAGAGAGAAGAGACCTTTTATCGAGCATTGGAAAAATTTTCTAACAATATTATCCTATTGTTTAAATATTACTTCACATCTCTCATTCGAATGTCCAATATTTAACATTAACTCGATTCTATCTAATGATTACACAAGGTATCTCTTTAAATTATCAAAAAAAGAAAAAAAAAAGAAAGAATTTGTACAAATAATCAATTTAACGATCGGACAAATTCGTCTTATCGCATAATCAATATTTTTACATGTCATTCAATGTCACGTTTATCGCTTATTTCTTTTGAATTTTTTATTCTTTTTTATTTCTTTTCTTCATTGTATTTTCATTTCGTTGAAATTCAAAACCTCTTAAGATCGGTAATAGTTTTAATATCCTATGTTATCATGTTTTTTTTTCGGAAAGATATGATCAAAAAATGATTTAATTTATTGAATCATTTTTTGTTTGTCTTATTTTGTGTTTTACGCGTAAATGCTTTTGATTAAAATCCGGCGCCTGTTGTACTGATTGCTATCGGTGATACGATTTGCGATCATCAAAACGATTCGAGGTCGGTACTACCCTTGAAACTGGCTTAATCGTTTAGCTTTTAAATTTTTAAATAGAACTCAGTGTCTCTCGAGAGACACACACGTTTGCCAGACTAAAACCGTCCGGTTCTTTCGTAATACCGACGAGACGGTGGCGTTACAACTTGGCAATATTTATATCTTTGAATCCGTTTAAATCTTTCATTTAAATATATATATATATTTTTTTTTTTACAATAATGATGACGATAACGATGACGACAACAACGATGATGACACAATGATGACGATAATTACGACGAGCCTTCTTTATTTTTTTTTTTTTTTTTTTTTTTTAGTAAAAAAGAACGTATATATTACCAAATTATAAAATAAATTTGAAATGAAAAAGAATAAAGATTGATCAACATATGTAGATACGTAAAAATTGAATTACGTGATAAAGTACACCTGCGGGAGAAATGAAACTTCTTTTTTGCTTTTTTTTTTCATATTTGAAATAATAGAAACGAGTAAAGTTTGAATTATCTTTTACTATCTCATTTATATAACCGAACATAATTCATAGTGGTAACCATTATACTTCTTACATTAGTCATTTATCGATTTTTTTAACATATTCGAACTGTTCTAGTTAATCGCATGAACTTACGTTCCAATTTATATTAAAAGAAATAATCCGAATTTAAATTAAAAGAAAAAAGAAATAAATATCGATAAACAAAAGCTTATTTATATATAGCAATCGTATCGCGTGTAACATTTTCATGATTACATTTTTAATCATTTTCGTGATGACTTTACGAAAAAAAGAAAAGAAAACTGTTCTTAACGCGATTAAAAAAGGTTTCGACTGAATTAAATAAAATTAAAAAAAAGAAAAGAAAAAAAAAAGAAAGAAAGAAAGAAATATTTGTCATGGATTAGAAAAATGTAGTTCGAGGATAAAAGTTTCACCCTCGAATGGGTTCCTCTATCATCATCATCATCATCATCAACCTACCCAAGTTCGGTGTGGCGCGCCCTCATGCTTGTTGCTAAATTTATCGTAAATTGGACGAACGGTTAGACCAAAGACCGAGGACGATCCATAAGATCGACATAACCAGCTGCCATTGCCATAAATGTCAGCTACCAGATAAAATAAAAAGAAAATTATAAAAGATAGAGAGAGCGAGAGAGAGAGAAAGAGTGAGAAAAAGACCCCTTGACATTAGTATCCTATTTCAGTAGGAGGATCTCGTTAAAACTTTAAAGTATCAAAAGTTTAACGATAAATTCATTTCAATGAATTAGCTTTGATAAACTATGCTCGATGACATTACTTTTAATAAAGTAGGAAAAAATACTAATAATTAATTATAATAACCAAAAAGTTTCTCTCGTTAAATTCAATGACATACTAATTATATATCATTGGTGAATTTACCTACTGGCTTGTTATTTATGATATAACTTGTATATAACAGTTTACAGATAATATTCTTCGGTTGACTTAAATATTAATACAGTAGGAATAATATGTACTTACATATTGTGTTTTATTATACGAATCGTTCACGAATCAAAACGATAAACTTCATTTTTAAATATTTTGTAAATTTTATTTAACATAATACTCGATCTAATTCGATATCGAACTCTTTTTATATTTAAAATAAATTTCTTTAATAATTAAATCTTATATAAAATTATTAAAAATGTGACAACAATTTTGATTGCTATTTAATTGTTAATGATGCGATCATTTTTATTTATTATTTTATCAATGGTTTATACTTTTGGTTTTGTGAAGTTAATCGATGTAGCAAATAAGTGACTCATATATCTGTATACTAATAGTTCAAAGTATAGATAGGGATAGTGATCATGCGACAAAAACACGTATATACATATATAGTTAACAAAATGTTATTTCCTTTTATCCTATCCTTTATACGTCAAATTCAATTGTTAATTTTGTCTAACATTGAAAAAGGATATGATGATAAAATTTGTTGTTTTTGTTTCTTTTATAGGACACACTTGTACACACATTACCACCTGGGGGCGGTAGGCCAGGATTTGCAAAAGGCTTTCGCAAAAACTTTGGTGGGCATTGGCGTCGTTTGGTCAAGAGAAAACCGGAAAACGAGACTTGTGCCATTCCACCGGAACTGAAGGATCAACTAAAAACGATTTACGTTTATTGACCGACCCATACAGATTATGATACCAAATCGTACCTCGAATTTAATGTTGACCTTCCACTCTGATAAAAATACGAACGCTTTTTTTCATATCATAATTCGTAAGAAGATACGTCGTTATATTATCAATTAATAATATTAAGGGAATCGAAAACATGAAAGATTGTTTAACGAAGCAAAATCGTTTTAAAAAAGCAAAAGTAAATATGAGAAAAAGACAAAAAAAAAACAAAACAAATACAGGATGGTGAGGGCACACAAATTCTTAGATAATTTTAAATATCGGAAATACATTTTAGATATTTTCAATCTCATTATTATGAGTCCCTGCAATATGAGAGCAGGAGTGATATTTAAAATTTATTAACAACTTCTTTTGTCCCCCATCTATCCATAAACGAATCATCGAACGAAGGGATGACTTTCTTGCTAGTTCAAATTCAATATTTTTAATATAACATAAGGAGAAAGTAATAAGAGCTGTTGTTGTGAAATTATTAACACGATGAAATGTTTAATGTTTAAACATATCAAAAAAAAAAAAAGTGCCCTAAAGAAATATCTCTCAAAAGATATGAAACCAACTGTTTGATTTTGAATAATCGTGGAAAATTGAACATATATAGTACATTCACCGATAAGTGCCTTTCTTACAAAATCTCTTTCACGATCATTTTATACACGAACGGGCAAAAATTGTCGTCATGTATACTTGTAATATAATTGTATGTCATCTTACCATCGTTCGAGGAATCTTAACACGCTTAAATAGCTGGACTTTATGCTATAAATGCGTATACATATATATATATATATATATATATATATAAGGAATAATAAGAAGCTTCGTTAAACGATGTAAAAGAATTTTTATGAGACTGAAAAAAACGTTAAAAGAGCTACGACAAAACGAGTAAAATCGTAGCTTTTTTTCTGTCTATGTATGTATTTTACTATTGATCTATAATAGTAAGAGATAGAGGGAGAGAGATAGAGAGAGAGAAAAACAAAAAAAGAAAGAAATAGAGTCATACTCAAGTAAGAAGAATCACTTTCACGACGCACTAGTATTAACGTTATTACCTGAGAAAAATATATCTAATATCTAATGTGTGTGTACAATACAAATATGATAGAGAGATCAGAAAGGAAAAAAAAAGGATAAGAAAATGAAAAAGCAAAGGATAAATCTCTTGAAAGCGTTTTATGCTTCTCTCGCGCATCTCTTTAAAAGAATAAAAAAGAAAAAAAAATCAAGAAAAATAAGAAAAAAAAAAAAGGAAAAAAGCTCTGTCTTTGATGTAAATAGTAGATATAATTTAGTTTTTAAATAACCATGGCGTAATCTAACGATTTCCGAGCTACGGTCGTATTGACGTCTTTTAAAATATCATCCTCAGTATATATAATAGCGTACGACTAATTCCAATAATTTCTCTAATCACAAATTTCATTTGAAAACTTGTACGATTTATTCAATTCGCAATAATGCAATCAGTAATATATTTATATATAATGTGACAAATGGTTTTAGTCGTACGTTCATTAGCGTCGATCATGTTGCTCTCGTCTATACGCTATTCTGGTAAATTGAAAATAGAATGAAATGGGGACGATAAAGGAAAAATTGTAATTTGATAAAAAGAGAAAATGTACTTTATATCTTTATTATTCTCTACTCCCCTTTTTCTTTCTTCGACGAACACAAAACCATGAATAGTGTGTAGCATTTCGTAGCAAACTTAGACCAATTTAAAAAAGATCTTTAATAATAACATTTACGACTCATATTGAGTCTGCACTACTTGCTAAACTACTACGGTATTTCAATTTCGTATTATTGTAATTAATTTGTACAGCAAAACACAGCTTCACTGAGTATCAAATAACGTTGTTATCTTGCCCTTTATATTAAAACAACAAAAAATTTCATTTCCCTGATAACTCTTTCGACTGCTCGCTCGTTTCTCTGCCAAATTGTAAACGTGGCTTTTCTCGACAACACATTGAACGATCTTTCTTTTGGCGTACGTCTGTTTGTCTGTTTATGTGGGTGTACATGTTTGATGTGTGTATGCGAATGTACGATTGAAAGCATAGAACAAAAAGTCATTCTTAAATAAAGAGATAAATGCGTTAAATTTGATGACTATATTAGTCACATGTGAAAACTACAATAAAAACAATTTAAAAAATGAATGAAAATAAACAAAAAATGGGGTATAAAGAAAAGCTGCTATCTAATCAACGTTCCTGCACCAGCCGAAACTGTGAAAATAAGTTATATTATGGTATTTTAAGACACGACTATTGTAGAATAGATATGTAATAGTAGCATAATGCTTTTGCGCGCGGCACGGATTATTCTAACGATTACGAATTTATTCAAGTGCCTACATTATATATATATATATATATACATATACATATATATATATATTTCTGTACAGTAAAAACACCACGTAAAAGCGAAATTATAGGATGGAGCTGCGCTCCCACCACCTAGTCACTTTTAAAAATACCATCGAAACGTATCCTTACGAATTTTTAGTACAGCTTCGAGTTTCTCTTTGACTATCTCTATCTAAATACAATAATATTAAATAAAAGATTTTAAATGAATTCGAGATTTATGTTTTACTCTACCAAAATTATCCAACTTCTTTTTTGTCATACATAGTATATATAGTACATCTATCATATTTAGAGTAATTATTTCTGATATGGGAACAAACATCGCAATACTTCAACAAGTAAACGGTAATTATATGAAATAGTTAACATTTTATAACAAGTATTCATATATTAATATATAAAATGTTAAAAATTTTTAATATTTATTTTAATGTATATAATTTATATAGATATATATATAAAGAGAGTTTCTTGGAAAATTGATTCTGAAACGTGACAAAAACATTTATACAAAGCCCTATTGAATTTCAATTGAATCGTCTACTGGCTCAAATATAAATACCGCTTCATCGTGATTCACGATCCAGTCAGTGAAATTAATCTTTACCTGCGTCATGATGTTTTATTTTTCAGAATCAATTATCGAAAGTGTACGTGTATGTGTGTATATATAAATGTATAGCATCTTATATTTGTTGAAAATCATAATCTAAATATTATAGATAATCGTAGATATTAAATAACGATCAATTACAAGTCACATATGATCGATAATATATAATCAAACTTATTGAGTATACTAACTACTGATAAATATAACTTACTAATTAGAGAGATAAATTTTTAAAGATAAAATTATTAGTTCGTTTAAATGTGTGGCAGTTGGATTGCCCCAATTGGATTTTGCACCAATCAAAAATAGAAGAATCATTTTCCACCAATGAAAAAGAATTTTATTACTAGATGGCACTACGATCGATCTAGATTTCAATTTGTCAATTACACATACAAATTTTTTAAATATTTTTATCACAAAAACATTGATAAAATAAAAATATAGCACAATTTAAACATTTTTTATTTTTTCTTATTATTTTTACTATTTGATCTTCTGTCTACCAACCTAAAAATCATATTCTAAATAAGAATGTTCTGTAATGCATTGTGAATTAACCTTAATGAATTTAACTTTAAACTACGCAAACGCGTTGAAACAATATCATCGATTTGTCCTATGTATTAGATATTAAGTCTGTTAAATAATTGTAACATAAAGTTGTTAACTTAAATTTATATTAAATCTAGAAAGAAATGTCACTTTGCTTTGTGTTTGTTTAATATTATATATTTAATAAAACCATTGCACCATGTTGGTTACAAGTGCAATCTCAATGTTAGTATCTTTCGATTATTTCTTTTATTGTAAGATAATAATTCTATAAATGAATTAAATGTTTATATTTTATTTACTCATTGTAAAAATAAAAAATTAGAAACTGTAATTATATACCAATGTAACAAATTCAATGAATTTTTTTGAAATTTTTTCTATTACTGCAGCATATAGTAATCATTTATAAATTTAATCATTTTAATGTTTTACTATATATTTATATTAATTTGTAATGATATTTTTATAGAGGGATTAAGTTCCGAACAGCAGTACTAACTCCAAGGTTATGTACTTTAGTTAAAATGTATTCTACCTCAACTGGACCATCATCCGGATCACCATCCGGATCATCATCTGGATCATCATCTGGATCATCATCCGGATCATCATCCGATTCATCATCTGATTCATCTGACTCTGATTCTGATACAGAAAATCCAAAGAAAATTGAACCAGTTAAAAGTGCTTCTTCATCAGAATTGGATGATCTTGTAGATAACTTAATATTGGTAAAAAAAAAATTAAAAAGTAGCTAAATTAATTCAAAATTATTGAATCAAATTGAACGATCATATTTACAACAAGTTTGTATTATATTTAGATGAAAGATAAAAAAAGGATAAATGTTGCTATGCCTCCAAGAAAAATTATTAAACAGAATAAGCCACCTATAAATAAAAATTTATCATATGGTTAGTAGAATAGTATCTGTAATAAGATTTATTTCTTCTAGTTTATATATGCTTCTTAATTTTAAATTTTAGAAAAACAACTTTCACAAGCTGTCCATAATATAACTAATAATCTCAGCGAAAATAAAAAAGAAATAAAGACACAATTATTAGATAGGTTAACCACTATACATAAAGACAATTCCAAAGTTCCTGAAAATTTGAGGTTTGTGGAATGTATAATTTTACTTTTATTATCAGCTTATAATTTTAATAATCAAAATAATATTATCTATGTTTATTATTTAACTTGTGTGATTTAAATTAAATCAATTGATTTTAATCTTCGTTTTTATATTTTTAGTACGGATATAGAAAACATCACATTAAATCGTAAGTCTTCATTTTCTCAAGAAAGTGAAAATATTCGTAATAATAAGGAATGGAAATACAAAGCCGATATTGCACGTAAGTTAAATTCTAATTATAAACCCGAGCAACAAGAAGCAAAGAAAGAGCCAAGTCATATTTGGGAATTAATGAATAATGAAAGAAACAAACAATATAAGGCTAAAATGAAACAGAAAGAAACAAAATATGAAGTTGATGAAAGTAGGAGAACAATTTTTAATGAAATAAAAGAACCTACGACAACTATACCAGAATTATCTACGTGGGCTTTCTTAGAAAAAAGAGAACTTGATTTAATTGTCAATCAACCTCCCCAAAATATATTTCAAGAAATGATACAATGGACTGAATCAGGAAAATTATGGAAATTTCCTATCGACAATGAGATTGGTAATGCATAGGCTCATATTTTGATTTAATGCAGTAATCTTTTCTCTATGTTCTAATAAAATGAATATTTCAGGAATGGAAAAAGAAAGTAACGTGCACTTCGCTGAACATGTATTTCTAGAACGTCATTTAAAAGATTGGTGTCCTACGACTGGCCCAATACGTCATTTTATGGAACTTGTATGTGTTGGTCTTTCAAAAAATCCATACATGACTGTAAAAGAAAAAACTGATCATATTGAATGGTACAAAGAATACTTCAAAGGAAAAAAAGAAATATTATTAGAATTAGGTGCTATTCAAACAACATCCGATACAACGAAACAAATAACATCTTAAATAGTAATAAATTGATGTATCTTTATCAAAAATTGATATTTTATCTTTGTATTATATATGATTTGTATCTACGCATCTAGATTATACGCATATTTTATATTCTACTTTTTTTTGTTATTTATTAATATATTCAAAGTTAAGATATAAAATAAAGAAAGTACGTCCAAATTAATCATTCAATGTATGTTGTTTAACCATTGTCAACAAAACAAAAGTTCTATAAAATATTAAATTATTACTTCCCGTGCATATTAATGCAAATACATATTCTTTTTATAAAAAAAAAAATTCAGTTAAAAAAGAAATATATACACAGCTATTTCAAATGAAATAACTAAGTTTGTATTAATCTTATCTATACCGATTATAAATAAAATCAATTCACTAATTTCACATTTATTTTTGCCATATTTAGATATATGTATTTTGTTTAATAAAAAGGACAAACTGTAGATAAAAATAATTTATAATAAATACCTTTATATAACGTAAAATTATAAAATGTACAATGAATAGTTTGAAAAGAAAAAAAGAAAAAAAAAGATAAAATATAACACTAATCGTAAGAAAAATATTTTTTAATACTGTGTAATAATAGAAAAAAAAACACAAAAAAAGAATACTTTGAAATAAATTCAATTGTTCTCTCTCGGTACACGTAGATATAGATTTATAAATATACTTCTGAAATTAATTTAAAACGAGCAAATGTAAAGCTACTGAAATGCACATAGGCATATAAATACAGACGCATACACACACACACATATATATATATATATATATAAACACATATATATAACATATGCATCAAAAACAAAGTATATATATGTAGATACGTATGTGTGCCAATCAGATCTCCTCATCTCATACTCTCTTCTTCCCAGGCTTTGGCAGTCTGTGGTAAGACTTGCAACCCAGTCATTCGTTGACGTCACTTCAAAGTATATTTATATAATTTCTCGAACTTTGAACTCATTTGATACTTTAGTGTATGTATATTATATTTATAATACATATATATATATATATATATAAATATAAATACACGTATATATAATTTAACCACACGTACAATTGTGTTATTTTGTTTCGGGACACGTTTGCTGAGCGTCCATACGTAAAAATTAAAATCGGAACGCACGATGGCGAATTGAATTTTACGTAGTTGTAAAGTACCGGTACTTTTGGTGAAATCAAAGGAAAGATTTGCACAAGTCTTAAGTGTATAAAAAAAAGTCACGTTATAAAATTAATAATATATTCTACATTTATTTATCTTCAAGTTTGTCAATTCTATTTTTTCCAACGTACTTACAACCGAACAAAGTTCTGTTTGTCTTTTTTTTTTCTCTCTCTCTCTCTCTTTCTCTCTCTTATTTCTTTCTTAACATTTTGTTTTACCAGTGATTCGTAATATTGTTGCATGAACGTAACGATCCTGTCCGTGAATAAAAAATTAGTATATTAATCTTACGTGTGTATCTAATTATACGGAAATTTTACGTGTTACCCATCCAGTATTATTCATTCGTAAGAAAAAGCAACTTCATTTCTATATATATATATATATATATATATATATATACACACATACATTATATTCTATTTAAATCTATCTTTATATTTTTTCAAGCTTATTATTTTGTAATATTAATTATCTTGTAAATATTGTAAGGTTATATATTTCAATCTATAGAAAGTCGATTGTACACCGTTAAATGCACGAATTACGTCAGCTATTGATTATTGTTAATATATTTTTATTTATTGCGTAGTTTGTTTGATTAAGAACACATATCTGAAATGTTTTTTTTTTGCTCAAAGAATAAAATAAATTAAGATACAATCGTATTTTTATAGTGCATATTGTAATAAACTAAATTATAATTAACGTATCTTGTATATTGTTAATCGTTGTAATTAACAAATAATTATTTTGGTTTTCTTATAGATATATTCACTTATATATATATAAATATATACCAAGAAGAAATATGAGTTTGCAGTGGACACTGGTTGCCGCTTTCTTATATTTAGAAATGATAATTGTATTATTGCTAGTATTACCTATACTATCACCAACAAGATGGCAGAAATTTTTCAAATCACGCTTTGCACAAAGTTTAAATTATCAGTCGTCAACTATTTTCTATATCTTAATTGCAATATTAATTCTATTTTGGGTGGATTCTCTTAAAGATATGTACAAATACTCTAGTGTTGGAAACCGTGCTGGAGAACATTCTCATTTAGACGCAGAAATGCAAGGTAAATTATAATTAATTTCAAAAATTAATTTAATTATATTAATCATGCACATACAATAAGCAGTTCACAAATCAAAGCGATTAAATCCACTTTTAGAATATTTTAAAATTTTACTATCAAGGCACTTCATCATCAATATTACATCAATGTATATTGCTTTAACAATCTTCTATACTTTCTGTTTTGTGGATTTAATTGATTTGGCAAATAAATGGCTTATAATATAGCAAAATATTGTATATATTGTATTTTTTATATTTTTTATTTTTCTTCAACAGGAAACATGAAACTTTTCAGAGCGCAAAGAAACTGTTACATATCAGGGTTTTCATTATTTTTGGGTATAGTTATATACCGTCTTGTAAAATTAATCTCTGCGCAAGCTACACTGTTAGCTCAAAGCGAAGCTGCTATGAGACAAGCGCAATCTGCTACAACTACAGCTAGAAGTTTACTTTCTCAGAAACCAAGTGGCGAAAGTGCTCAAAATGATTCTAATGAAGCACACGATAAAGCTGTTTCAGAATTGAAAAATCAAATCAAAGAATTACAAGCTAAGAAACTTGAACTTGAAACTGACCTAACAAGAGAGAAAAAAGATAAAGAAGCTATCAAATCGCAAGCTGATTCTTTAGCAAAAGAATATGATCGTTTGAGTGAAGAACATGCTAAAAGTTTACAATCGAGTGGAGATAAAAAAAGTGATTAAGTTGTTGCCTTCCTTTTTTCTCGTTACCTCCAACGCCAAAGGCATATAATTCATTATTTTTTACTTAAATATTTTTAATATTCTATCCAATTTCACGTTACATTATTTTTAATAATACTAAAACAATTATTATAATTTATTTATATTGTTTACAAAAATCCTGTATATACGTATTATTGCAAATGTAATATGTATCGCAAATACATTGTTATATTAAATTTGGTTGTTTGCTTTAGGAAGTGATCAACATTTTTTGTGTATTATTTTATCTAATTTTTCTTTCTGTTATAGGCAGTTATCACAAATTTGTTGATAGTAATTATACAAATATGTGTTTGAGAGTAGAATTTTATGCATAGAGTCTTAAAACAACAAACTCTTTCCTATAAACACATATTATGGTATATTCTATTTTAATTAAGTATATTCTAACAAATAAAGAAGCAATGCATAATTCATAAGAAATATTAAATATACTTTATATTCATCATTTTCTAATTATAGTCGAACTGGTTTATGCAACATATATAATAAGTGGCACAGAATTCGCTTCATTAATATAAGATTCAAACTTATATTTCATTAGACCTTTAAACATTTTTAACATATTTTCTTTTATATTATATTAAATATAAGATTTGAAATTATAAAATGTTTATGAATAGCACAATTTATTGTTCATAAAATAGGAAATCCTACTAAAGCACAATAATTTATTAAACAACTAATAACAGAATTTAATGTGTTAGCGGGTTGTAATTAAATTCATTCGACGTTGATCCACGCAGTTAGAAAATTCTTCTACTAAATTAGAACATTTCAATGTTTCCTTAGGATGGTCTTGATAACATTTTAATACTTTTTCTTTACCTGCAGCACACAGCTGTTCATTGTTAAAATTATTTGTCGCTTTTTGTCCTGTTAACAAACATAAATATATAAACATTAATATTTATGGAATAAAATTTGTTTTCATAAATTAATTTAGTATATAAAAGATTTTAATTTTAAATAAATCCCAAGACATTTGTTAATATTTTAAGAAATAGTACAATGACATTTTAACATCAAATTTTGAAAATAATAACGAGTGGTATAATTATAAGTATAAAAAGGGAAATGTGTAAAGATATACAAATAATATATTAATAATATGGAATATTATCCTATTTAGGTTAAATGTAAAATACTTAAAAAAAAAAGAGCTTCAACTAGACCAAAATATTTATTTCATTTATTACTTTACCTTTTTCTTCTGGATAAAATTCATTGACAGTTCTTTTAAATTCTTCTTCTAAAAGGATATCTATCATCGAGTGCTTATTTTCCATATTTTTTAAGCGTTTTTGCCAATAATCATTTTGAGCATGAAGTTCTTGTTCTTTCTGATGTTGCATTTCAAGAGCGGATAACGTTAACTCTGGATAATAATATGCTGGATATGCAGAAGGTGTTTCACCAATTTTTTTCTGTGGCAATGACGATGATGGAGGAACAGCGGAAGGAGTTGGTTGTGTCGGAGTAAATGAGTTTACGTCTTTAACAGTCTGATTGAAACTTTTGTTGACTCCTTGGGCTAAACGTTCTGCAACTGCACTAGATACTTTAATCACTCCTACCTCTTCTTCATTGGATATAGTAAGACTACGAGTGCTTTGCTTGGATCCCATTTTTAATAATTCCTTCAAGATTTTAAATATATTACCTTAAATTTAATAAACATATATGATTAATTTTATATTATTAATTAACGATATTTGAACTCATTTCGTAATTGTTTAAAATTATTTTATACTTTTCCCTTACCTGATATATTTAATTCACGTAGATTTAAGAGTTTTTCATTTACATATTACATTAAAGTTACATAAACATCGTAATGTACAATCTTTCCGATTCATGAAGGAAAATGACTACTAAAGAAGGATAACAAAATTTATATTGTAACTAAGAATACAGTCTTTTTAGAAACACCCCATACAATCTTAAATCCCGCTTCGCGCTCCATCTTCAGGAATATATCGATAATTATCTAATCAATTTATTCATAATTATTATACTTTTTAATTTAAATGTTTTCTTATTCACTGTGTTTTTTTCTATTTCATTATGAAATTTAATATTAACTTTTGTATAAATATGTTAAAAATCTTTATTACGATCTAAAATCAATCGTGTTATTATTTGTAAAAATTATTCTGTTATTATGACTACTGTTTTATTGCATTGTAAAGTTAATTAATTTCATGTTTAATAATAAACATTTTAATCGTCTATAATCCGAATTTATGTTCAAAATTATACAAAGATTTATATAACTTGAAATCAATAAATATTAACCTCAAAATAAAAATGAACAATAAGTCAAGGATTTTCTAAGATGTTCTATTTATTTCGATATTCCAAGCAAGAGTTGGTAATCATTAAAACTAATATCTTATCGATTATCGAAAAAAGATTATAGGAAAAAATGTGTACGTCATATTGGGGATACAAATTTATTTAAACAAATACAATTCCAATACTGGTATGTAACTTTAATATCACATGAGACATTTAAATAATTGACATTTATATATGTATATAAATATTTTTTAAGATTTATAAAAATTAATATCAGTTAGAATTAGAATATCCCTTCTCCTGAAATTTATTACTTATCTTATATGTTGGCTAATATAACCTAGACTAATGATCTCTAATTTTTTTTCTAATAGAAAGCAAGCAGTATTATAAGGAATTTTATTTCTCTAACATCTCCAAGTAATACTTATTGAATATATTTTTATAAAAAGACATTCATAGAGGTTAAATAATTGCTCAAAAATGGCTCAAAGTGCTTCTCTTTTAACACGTATAATGGCTACTTCTACATTGGCTGCAGCACGGGCAGGAAAAATAATTCGTGAAGTTATGGATCAAGGAAAATTAAAAATTGTAGACAAGGGTAAAAATGATTTACAAACTGAAGCTGATCGATGCGCACAGAAGTGTATTATAACTTCTTTAAGTCGACTATTTCCAAACATTACTATTATCGGAGAAGAAGAACCAAATAATTGTGAAATACCATCCGATTGGATTGTTACCGATGTGGATGAAGATATGTTGAAATTGAAATTACCATCACATCTTGAGAACGTAGATCCAAAAGATATATGTGTTTGGGTAGATCCTTTAGATGGTATCAATAATTAATCTTTTTATTAATCATTTAAAATTAATAAATATTAAATTAAAAGTCATTGTTTATATTTTAAATAATTCTTTTAGGAACATCTGAATATACACAAGGACTTGTAGAACATGTCACTGTATTGGTAGGAGTAGCAATTAAAGAGAAAGCAGTCGGAGGTGTGATTCATCAACCATATTATAAGGATAAAATAAAGGGTGAATTAGGTCGTACATTATGGGGAATCGATGGAGTAGGATATGGTGGATTTGAACAAAGTGCACCTCCCTGTGGAAAAAGATTCATTACAACCACACGGTAAAATTATTTTGAAAAAAATTAATTACATGGGAAAACAGAAATTATAAAAAGAAACAATATTTACGATTGATATTTTAGTTCACACTCGAATACAAATGTTCAAGCTGCTATAAATGCTTTAAAACCAGATGAAGTTATTCATGTGGGTGGTGCAGGTTATAAAGTAAGTTATCTTTATTCTATAATGTAAAGTATTGTAAATGAATTTTCTTTTTAATTATAAATATACTAATCATTTTTTGAATCGATTTTTAACTTTTGCCATATTAATAGGTAATCCTTCTTTTGGAGGGGAAAGCACATGCCTATGTATTTGCTAGTCAAGGTTGTAAGAAATGGGATACATGCGCACCTGAAGCAGTGTTGCATGCATGCGGTGGAACTTTAACTGACTTTTATGGAGAAAAATATGCGTATCATCCTGAAACAATACGTCCAAATTTAAGAGGTGTTTTAGCTACTGCTCCTGCCGAGAAACATCAGTGGTATTTAAATCAAATACCAGAAGAAGTCAAAGAATATTTAGAAAAACGCAAGTAGTTTTTTTTATGGTTATACTTTTTATAACATTCCTCAATGTGAATTAGTGATTTATTTATTATATATTAATTAATAATTTGTAATATTTCTTTTCTATATTAGAAAAGTTATTTATGATTTAGGTATATCATAATTGCAAAACATTAAATCTATGAATGAATCATGCTTATAACTGTTATATCAAATTTTAGCGGTTAAAAATTTGTGAGAAGTAATTCATTTGTTTTTATATTAGCAGTGTTTATTACTCTATGGTAATTAGTTGAAAAATTGATTAAAATTATATAAAATGTAGGGAATAATGATTAATTGGAATAGGTAATAATATGATTAATATTGGGTAAAAAAAAAGATTGAATCTATACTTATACAATTCTTATTTATGCGACTAGAATAATTGTCTTACAATAATGTCAATATTACACAATTTGATATAAAAATGTATGGTAGTACTATTACCATATTTAATAAAAATTGTAAATTTTGACAAGTATTATTGACAGAATATTCCCTTTGTCGAAAAATTTTGGTCTTTTATAATTTAGACTTTATCATATCACGTAATTCTCGGCGTAATATTTTTCCAGATGCAGTTTTTGGAATATCTTTAACAAATTTAACACCTCCTCTAAGTTTTTTTTGATTTGATACTCTTTCTAAAACAGATAATGATATAATAGTTATTTAAATAGAACAGTTATTCTTTATGTGGTTAACCGTTTGAGTGTTATGGGTGTATACGAAAATTTCATCGAAAAATGCAGAGCAGCCTCATAGTGCTCTGTTATATTAGAAGAAAATTCACCGAACATGCAATTACTTTTGACTTCACAGCCTTATACGTTAGTACTGTTAGATTCTGAACAGAAAAAGTGCAATCGCGCCGCTTGACACTCAAACAATTAAGTCATATTATTAATATTACCATTAACATATTGAATTATTTCATCTTCTGTTATTCTACTTTGTTCTTGCTTAACGACAAAAGCAAATGGCAATTCTCCAGCTTCTTCATTTGGTAATCCAATAACCGCAGCATCTTTGATTCCATCACAATTTAATAAAATTGCCTCTAATTCTGCTGGAGGTACTTGGAATCCTTTGTATTTGATAAGTTCTTTTAATCGATCGACTATATAAAAACATCCATTTTCGTCGTAATATCCTACATCTCCTGTATGTAACCAACCATCTTTATCGATAATCGTGTCTGTTGAATTACTGTCATTGTAATAGCCTTTCATTATTAGATCTCCTTTGAAACACAATTCTCCTTTGCAATTAGCTCCCAATGGTTTATCTGAATTAGGCTCATCGATAGATATTACCTTTGCTAAAAATAATTATTGATTAGGTCTTATTAAATAAGAAACTAAATTTCAGTAAATGTTTACCTAAAGTATCAGCAGTCAGCACTCCTACACTACCGAACTTGCAATTAGGCGATGATCGTAATACTGCCAAAGTTGTTTCTGTTAATCCATAACCTTGTTTTATGTCAGGAACATTTAATCTTTTTGCTACAGCTTTCTGAATTTCTTCTGATAAAGGGGCTGCTCCGCACCTATAAATAATATTATATAAGAATTCTTGATTCATAAAATAGCACTATAACTTGTAAAAAATTCTACCAGAAAGTTTAAAAGGGTTCATATGAATTGTTGTGGTAGATTTAATGTTAAATATATATATAGGGTGTTCTGTAACTATGCAAGATTTACATTTGTATCTTTTATATTTACCATATTGTTTTTATACTGGAGAGGTCATATCGACTAACGATAGGATGTTTTGCCAAAAAAACCATAAGCGGTGGAACCAAAGTTAAGGTTTCAATTTTGTATTTTTCTATTGTGTGTAAAAATAATTTTTCATCAAAACGTGAAAGTATTATGGATTTGGAACCCATGATTAATCCAACAAGTAGCACAGAAAATGAATATGCATGAAAATATGGTAATAGATGTAATACTATAGCATTTTTATGCATTGAGTTCATTTGAAGATCATAGAAATGTTTCATTGCTATTAACAGATTTTTGTTGGTCAACATAACTCCTTTTGGAAATCCTGTAGTTCCACTAGAGCACAATATTGCTGCTACATTGTTATTTATATCAACTTTGCAGGCTTGAAAATTGTTGACTTCACTGACATCTATATCTGCTATTAAATCTTTCATATTAGGTAAATTATTACACTTAGAGCTAGTTAAGACAATTAATTTTGGTGGCAAAGGTAATTGTTTAGTAACTTTTTCCAAAGTATTTAATGCTATTGAAGATGTAAAAATATATTTGGGCTTCAATATCGTCAATGCATGAGAGAACTCTTTTTCAACATACATTGGGTTTAAGGGACAAACTGTGATTCCTGTAAATAATGCAGCACAAACAGGAATGCAGAACTGTGTATTATTTTCACTACATATAGCTATACGGTCTTCTACTTTTAAACCTATTTTTCTAAAATATACTGCTAATTTTTTACTAGCATTTAAAATTTGTAAATGTGTTTGTTGCTCTTCTGTATGTGCATTGATCTAGAAAAAAGAATATTTTTTATTTATTTAAACTCTCTATATATTTTAATAATTTAAGGATCCTTTATTTTATGATGAATGAACAATTATATACCTGAGCAACGCTAGTTCCGTGTACTTGCAATTGATTTAAAAGTAATTCTCCAATACTTTCGTGCATTGAATCTTTTATAAAAGATGGAGGTCCACGTAATATATTCTTATTATCTTCCATTTTATATAATGTATTGTTTATTATCAATTTATTATAGCTTACTACTTGCTGAATTGTATAATTATAAATACTATAATAATAAATAAATAATACAGAAGAATTAGTTTATATTAAATAAGTTGTTAACTATATATATTTACCAATTTATACATTAAAAGTAGTTGTTATTACTTAATTCAAATCAGAAATAAAGCACGTATTTTGTTTGTCACGATATAAGCGTTATGTACATATGTCACGATAACTACGTATCAACTTATTTATACACTTTCTTATCTAATGTAATTACAAAAAATTATGCATATAGAATAGTTGCAACTCATGAGTTGATACTAATCGGATATTCAAATAAGTGTGTTAAACTTAAAAGTAAGAGTAAACAACAATTATTAAAAAATTGGATAGTTGCGTGATTGTTTAATTCTCATATATTTGTTGAAGAAAAATGAATCAATAAATTCCTTCTTTTCATAGCAAATTGAATAATAATGAAATTATCTTTCAATATTTTTTTATTAATAGAAAGATGAAATATAATACATTTGCATTTTTGCAAATGTTTGTAAAAACAATAATTTGTACCAATTTTTTTCTATACAAATCTCAATTGTATATATTTCTATTCTATTTTATTTATTACAAACCGTTCATTAAATGGCGCTAAATAAGATTACTGCGTAACGATCAGTATTGCCAATTTTTTATATCAAATCAAAATTATTAAGCAACTACTTTACAATACTTGAGTAATGAGCCAGTAGATGGCAGTTCTACTCACTACATAAAGCGGAATTTATTTATGTCTAGGTGAAGGTTAGATGACGTCTTTTGAGATAACTCCACTCTTAATATAACAGTAACAATATTTATTTCTTCTTCTTATATACAATGTCACGTTTTCACGTACAAAAATCGACTAGAGACAAATTTCTGGCGACACCATAGGGAGTTTCCAGAAACTTTTCTTAAGTCTCTAGGAGACGGCATACACAACGCATCTAGGGATTATTGTGTGTTTTTGGAGTTTCTCAACACAAACATATATAACGTATATGTTTAATTTCATGTGGCGTTTATATTGGAGAGTTATATCCCTCCAAGTAAACTAGTGTATGTTTGTGTGTTGTGCGTATTGCAAGTTTTAATATTGTTTTTCTGTAGAGACTAATTCGCAATAGGAAATAAAAATTCGACAGTTATATTCAGTTATAAAACTATATTAATGACGATATGGGTGTCCCAGCATTTTTTCGATGGCTAAGCCGAAAATATCCTTCTGTAATAGTGGAGTGTATAGAACAAAAAGTAGGTTAAACAATATTATTGTTTTTCATATTTAACTCATTGTAACAACAATTTCAATATATATTAACATAATTTATTAAATAATTATTATTTATCTGTTGTTTGAAATTTGTTATATCTGTTAAAAAAAAAATATAATGGTGAGAAGTTTTTTGACAAATTTTGTAGGTTATAATATTCATTTATTGAGATGTTGTTCATTATTATGTGTATGTGTATTTCTTCCTTATCAAATATTATTTAAAGAGTTATAATTATTAATATTATGTTTTTATTAACAGTCAATAAACGCTAATGGAGTACATGTTCCTGTCAATTCTGCGGATCCTAATCCAAATGGAGTGGAATTTGATAATCTATATTTGGATATGAATGGAATCATTCATCCATGTACACATCCAGTAGATCAGTTAGTATATTATTTAGTATATAATATAATAATTATAATAATAATAATAATAATAATAATAATAATAATAATAATATATTATTATAACCCTTTGTAATTTTAGGTATAGTTTGACTTTACATTTTGTTCTAATGAGTCTTACGTTTAATTACTTATTTGAATTATGAATATTTAATATAAGCATATCTAAATATAAATATGTTATATTATTTAGGAATTAAAATATTAAAATAATAGTTAACAATTTTTGATAATGATTAAAAGCGATTAATTTAACGGAGACTTGCTGGAACAAAATAGAGAGAATTACTCAGACCGTAAAGGATTAATATTCTTTTTATTTTATCTAAATAATATTTGGTATTTTTTATAATAGACCTGCTCCAAAGAATGAGGAAGAAATGATGGAGGCTATTTTTGAATGCATCGATCGCTTATTTCGCATTGTAAGACCCAGAAAATTACTCTATATGGCTATAGATGGGGTTGTAAGTATTAACATATATATTTTAAATTATCAATTATAAATATTAACATGTGAAAAAAGTTTGTACATAAATATTTGTTGTAACCAATTTAATGTGCAGCATGTTTAATGCATTATCATTGTGCAGGCACCGAGGGCTAAAATGAATCAGCAAAGATCACGTCGTTTTCGTGCATCTAAAGAAACAAGTGAAAAACTTAATGAAATTGAAAGAGTGCGTTCTGAATTAGCCTCAAAAGGAGCCATATTACCACCAGAAAAACCAAAGGAAGAGCATTTCGATAGTAATTGCATTACGCCGGTTTGTAAAAGAATTATCTAAATTATTATACTTGATTAATATACAACGTAATGACACAAAGTAATTTTTTATTATAGGGTACCCCATTTATGGCAAGGTTATCAAAATGCTTGCATTATTACATACACGATCGTTTGAATAATGATCCTGGTTGGAGAAATATAACAGTCATATTGAGTGATGCTAATGTTCCAGGAGAAGGAGAACACAAAATAATGGATTTTATTAGAAAACAAAGAGGTAAAATCATACTATTAGTAGAAGATCGCATATAAATATTAAAAATCAAATGATAGATTTATTTCATAATTATTTCTTTTTTCAACAGCTCAACCCAACCATGATCCTAATACGCAGCATGTTTTATGCGGTGCTGACGCTGACTTAATTATGTTGGGTCTTGCCACACATGAACCTAATTTTACTATTATTCGTGAAGAATTTAAGCCAAATAAACCAAAACCATGTGATATATGTGGTCAATTGGGACACGAAATGCAAGAATGTACTGGTTCAGAACCTAATCAAAAAGAAGAAGAGAATGCATTTTCTGCTGAATGCCAATATATATTTGTGCGATTAAATGTTTTAAGAGAATATTTAGAGAGAGAATTGCAGATGCCCAATTTACCGTTTAAATATGATTTTGAACGTGCTATAGACGATTGGGTTTTTATGTGTTTTTTTGTAGGAAATGATTTTTTACCTCATCTTCCGTCATTAGAAATTAGAGAAGGAGCCATTGATAGACTTGTAAATTTGTACAAAAAAGCTGTGTATAAAACAGGAGTAAGTATAATATATATATATTTTTTTATCATTCTTAATATATATATATATTAAAAATTAAGTTAATAGAGAAGGTACGTAGTATTAGTTTATAACTATCTATTAAATTTGTGTTATATATAAATGTTTTATGTTGTTATTAATTTAAAAAATCTCTAAATAACTTTGAGAAAACAATTGTGGTAATGATTTGTTTACATAAATATAAAAATATGTGTAATTTGCATACTTAATTCTAATATATTTAAAAAGCAGTATTTGAGAGTAATTATTAAAAATTACAGGGATTCATAACGGATAGTGGTGACGTTAATTTGGATAGAGTGCAGATGATTATGTCTGAGCTTGGTGAAGCAGAGGATGAAATTTTTAAGAAAAGACAACAAAATGAATTGGCTTTTAGGCAACGTGAAAAAGATAAGAAAAAGAGATTAAAAGCAATTAGCAATTATAAACCAAAATGGATTCCTACAGGACAATTCGCACCTATGGTGAGTCATATGTTTATCTTTTTCTCTTTTTTTTTAACATAAAATTATAAATATTTTGTATTATGATTATTCTAGCCGCTGGGTCAAACCGTGAAACCAGTTGAAAATGCACGTCATGAAGCTTATCAAATGCGTATGCAAAATCAGAATTATAGTACCAGTCCAATGGAACATGTATCGTTAAATCCAGTTACACAATCAGTACTTGAGATGATGCTTCGTCCTGAGGTATATATTTATTTTTACTCGCTTTTGATAAATTTATATGAATCATTTATTTGTCAAATCGATTAACTCCATAAAACAAAAACGGAGAAAAAAATTAATGAAGTTAAATACATTGTTATATTATTTATTGTTAAACAGTCATATAAAATTTTGTTATTTAATGTTTTTAAGCTCTTTATAAAAGGAAATTATTTTAAATATGAAAAGTTAAATATTGATCAAATGCTTTGATAGTAAAATTTAAAAAAATTTAAAAAAATGGAGTTAATTGCTTTAGTCTGTTAAAACAGCTCATATTGCTTATATTTATCATATTTTTTAAATGTATTTTTAATAGGGTAAGACCGAGTCAAATAAACGTAAAAGCGATGAAGGATTAGCAGATGATACGGACGAAGAAGAAGTAGTACACGATGAAGTTAGACTTTGGGAAGATGGTTTTAAGGATCGTTATTACGAGTCAAAGTTTGATGTATGTTCCGACAATCTTGCATTTAGGTAATCAAATAATTTTATTGATAGTAAATAATTTCAATGGTTATAATATCACAAATGGACAAACGGTAATATAATATTATATGTATTATTTTACAGAAACAACGTAGCCTTACAGTATGTACGCGGTTTATGTTGGGTTTTACGTTATTATTATCAAGGTTGCGCCTCTTGGAAATGGTATTTTCCATATCATTATGCACCTTTTGCTAGTGATTTTATTAACATTGGTGGACTTTCTACAGAATTTGAAAAAGATACTATGCCAGTAAGTGTATACTCCTTTTTTCAAGTTATGTTTCTATATAGATAGAAATTTATATATTGTCGTATCGTTTACAGTGTCGTCCTTTAGAACAGCTGATGGGTGTATTTCCAGCAGCTAGTAGTAAACACGTACCACAACCATGGGCAAGATTAATGAACGATCCAGTAAGTATTAAGCGTTACACGTATATGAGTCTATGATAGATAAATTTGCAAAACTTTTTTATATATAAAAATTTATCAATTTCAGAGATCTCCGATCATAGATTTTTATCCAGAAGATTTCAAGATTGATCTCAATGGAAAAAAATTTGCTTGGCAAGGAGTAGCTTTACTTCCATTCGTAGATGAAAAAAGACTGTTTAAGGCTTTAGAGCCTTATTATGACAGTTTAACAGAAGCAGAAAGTAAATAATTACATATTTGTAGAAAAATAGGATACCACATGAAAGATATATCTACTTTTTACGATAAAAATTTGTTGTTTCTTTTTTTTTCTCAGAGAAACGGAACATACGTGGAGACGATCGACTGTATGTTGGTATGGGAAACAGTGGATATAATTTTGTAAAAAATCTATATATGAATAAAGCAGGATTTGACGTTGAACATCCAGTATATATAGATAGTATGAGAGGTAGGGTATTGTTAGCAGAAGATTGTATTGGAGACGGAGCTACCTTACTTTCTCCGATCAATGGATTACCAGTGAGAAATAATAAAGTATATTGGTAAGTTTCCTTAACAAAAAAATTTAGTTTTTTTTTGTTTTTTTTTTTTTTTGTTATATAATTATATTTTATTTCTCTATAATTATTCTATTTATCTATTAAAATTATAATCTTTGTTTCATAACGTTATTTATTTTTCTGCAGTGTACGTTTCCGAGATCCAAAGTACAAAAGTAGTTTTATTTTCTCTACAAAAAGATTGAAAGGTGTTGTAGAGCCGCCGAAAGTTTTGAAACCTCAAGACTTCGATCAAATGAATCGTAACAACGGTAATCAATGGAGACCACAAATTGGTTTTACTCCTTCGACACGTGTGGCATCCTTAAGTGACGCTGGTCATCGTATGCTTGAGTAAGTTCCTCCTATTGGAAATATTGATTATTTCATTCTTTCGTCGATTTATCGTTCGATTATATGAAATATGTTTATTTTCTATTCTTTTCTTTTTTCTACAGTCATCACGGAGGTTTTAATAGAGCACTTCCGATGTATGGACACGTACCACCACCTGTAAATGCGTATCAACAACATCGGCACCAGCATCAGCACCAACATCAGCATCACCAGCAGCAGCAACAACAGCAACAGCAGCAATACGGTAAGTTTGATTTCATTGCTTGATAATCATTAACGCATGGGTGTGTGCGTGTGTCACGGAAGTCCGAGAGTGCGTTGATACTCGTCGCGTCGAGTATTATTCGGTTTAACAATGTGCCGAGATTATCGGAGTAGAGAATGAAAATAGTACTTTATAAACGTTGAGTCGTTATATATGAGCCACGTGTGTGTTTGTCTGCTGGCTGGGTAGTAGGAAGGAACCCTCATTGTTTTTTTCCCTTCTCTTCTTGTAGCTGTCGTCGGTACTACCTACGATCATCTCTGCCCTCTTTTATTGTTTTACATTTTGGCCCCTCCCCCCCTTTCTTTCTAACGTTTGACAAGGGCGAGTGGGAGTTTTAGGGAGACGAATAAACCTTTATCGTTTAAACGATGATCCACATTTTCAGAATTTTTGTTGAATATTAAAAAGAAATAAGAGTCGATGAATGATGAAGATATTGAAAGAAGAAGAAAAAGAAGAAGAAAAAGAAGAAGAAGAAGAAGATACTTTAAAGTTGAGTTTAGTTTCGGGGGAAAGCGCGCGCGCGTCTCATCCGTTCCGGAGAACAGGCTGGGAGGAGGGAAAAAGGGATGTTGCAAGGCCGAGGGGTTCTCGTTCCGGATTAGCTCAAAGGGTAGTTCGTCACGTAGAGCGTGACTCCGGCCGTTTCGTTGTTTGGCACGTCGAGTCAAGCAACGGTTGCCCCCCTCCCGACTTTCGCCCAATTATAAAACAAACGCGGTGCACTCTGTAATTATCCAATTAGCGGATGTACCTCTCTTTCACCCTAATACCCTTCTGCGTCACGATCGTTGTCGTTGTCGTCGTCGTCGTTGTCGTTGTTGTTGTCGACGATTGCGTTCAACTGCACAAGTCCTATCCGCCATTGGCAAAAGGGAAACAAATGCGAACAAACTCGTCATCGTCATTCACCATTCTTCTCTCTCTCATCTTTTCTCTTCTCGTTGTTATCGTTATCGAAATACTTCTATAAATTCCATCGAAAATAGTATTACACTTCTTTCGAGACTTCTATTTTTTTTTTGTTTTTTTTTTTTTTTTCTTCCTTTCGAAGTAGTCCTTTTTCCATTTTGTTTTTACACCATCGATATTATCTCTATACTCTTAACGTATTTAAATATTTATTAGATCTGTCTTTGTAATTTAATATCTTTTCTATCTTAGAAATCTTTTTATTTTTAATATATATATATATATATTAATTATTGGTCTCTTTAACACACAGTAGGATCTATAATATCAATTAGTCAGCATGATTGATTTGAAAAAGGTATTTATAGAAATATTAGTATATTTGAAATTTCATTCTTTGCTTTATTTTTTTAATTTTTTTTTTTCAGATTTTATCCCAACTTAGACACGCAATGTCGACAATCTTGATGAAATTTTCACTTGTTTAGCATTACAATTCTTTTTTTTCTCAATTAAATGTTATGAAAAAAGAAAAAGGAAAAAAAAATTGCGGCATAAACGTTATATTTTTGTCATACGGTTAGGCATGCTTTAAAAACGTATTCTATAAATTAACACAAAATTTATACAAAATTTATATTATTTTTCAATAATAAAATAATTTTTACTTTTCTTTTTTGGGCTAATTATTATAGAAGAAGAAGAAGAAGAAGAAAAAAAAATTGATCGATTGTAAATAATTCAAACGCGAAAACGTTTTTAACAAAAAAATATTTCAACAGGTCAAATATATTATTTAAATTATTTTCACGATATCGGTTTAGTATTTTTTTATATTTTGTTGGACGATTTAAATAATACAAAAGTAATCATTATTTTTGCAGGAAAATAATAATTATCACGGTGTCATATCTTTGGTCACTTTCTTTCCTCCTACCCTCCTACCTTTTTCCTCCCCCTGAAGAAGGGTGGCCGGCACGCGGCACTGTATCTGGCATTTACATCCCTTAGTAAATCAATCACGCACGCTTGCCCGCAACTGGCCTAACGTTTTGTTTTTACGTTAGAGAGTCACCATTTATATATATATATACACACGTATATATAGGCACGCGCGCGCGTGTCCTACAGGTCACGCCTCTTCGAAATGTCACAGTGTCAAGAACAAACTTCTCTCGTAATTCATCTTTCCACAAATTTGTCGGCTTTGTATCTTTTTCTTAATCTTCATCTTCTTAATCTTCTTCCTTCTTTTTATTCTCGTCCGAATTTCATCGAAATTTGTGGCCGATACTTAAAAAAAAAACAGGAGGATCATTCAGGAATCATCTTAAAAATATTTTTAAGGGACGATTATGAAACGAATTTTAATATGATTTTTGTCCGGAATTGTGTTGTTCGAAAATTATGGAATATTATTATTATATGTGCATACTAATCGTACGATTTCTCGTTATAGAAATAGATAACGCGGGAGAGGGAAGGGGGGGGGGGGTTCTTGTAACGCGTTAAAGGATTTCGCGAATATTGTTTCAATATAACGCGATTTTTCTTGTAGATACGCTTTATATAATAAAATGGGAGAATTATTCGAATTTCAAAATCTCAACCTCGCTTTATTGCAAGATTTATTTATTTATTTTTTTCTTTTTTTTTTTTCTACTTTATATAAGCATGTTTTGCGCATTGATTTATTTTTTGTTTTTGTTTGTATTTGTCCGCCGTTTATTTCTTTCTATATTTGTTTAACTTTTAATAAAATACAAATTATGATCGGTAAAAACTTAGATCAACAGTTATTTTGCAATAATGTATTTAAAAGTCGGTACTTGTTCGTCGTTAGACCAAGAAGTGGCATTCAATGTGATAAATTATTATTAATTTATTATTGCATTGTTGCTATATCATCCGATACCGATGTTTCCTTCTGTTTCGTAATTATTGTTTTTGCTTTATTTTTTTTTTCGATACTTATATTTAATTCATGAATTTTTTTTTTTTTTTTTTAATTGTAAATTACCTTGAGGAAAATAAAAAAAAAGGAACGAACGAACGAACGTCGTGTTATACGAGAAAAGTTTTCATATTACATGAATTCAAACAAAGCGTAACATATTAACCGGGTTATACTGAGGTTTATAGTAATTCAAACTATCTTTCATCAATCTCAATAGAAATATTATAACGTTAAACTCGTTCAAATATTTTCTGACATGTCTGACAATGTTATAGGAAAAATTATAATCTTTGCTATTAGGTTCTCTTTTGATTCGATCAGTGTGGTGTCATAAATGAGGGTTTTTTAGATGACTCCGCAAGAAAAAAAAAATTCCATATAGGATATAGGTTGGGTAAACATCAAGGTCTACGTGGTTAACGACAAAATAATCATTTACTATAATCCCTTAAAGTAAAAAATTGTGGTCAGAGAAAGAGCATTCTGACAACACACATCACGTATTGTAATTATTAAATTAAACCTTTCCAAATAGGGTTGGTCCCTGTATAAAAATATTTTATGTGAATATCTTTAGAAAACTTTTTCCCAAAGTATCTTTACGCAATGTACATATGTACGAACAAATTGAATTTAAATTAAATCAAACTGAATATAAACCTATCTATCAATGTTTCAGCTTTACGTTTTATTATTTCTTCTTATCAATGAAATATCTTCAGAAAATATTTGACTTAAAAAAAAAAATGTTACAATGCATATATATATATCTTATATGAACGAATATCCTTGAAAATAGGACGTCATAAATTTTCTTCGAAGTATTTTTATCAATTGTGTACGAATCGTCAAGAGACAACGAGCTTCGTGTAAGCAAGCAAGCAAGCAAGCAAGTAAGCAAGTAAAAGTGTGTATAGGTATATAGGTCCCTCTCTTTCTTTTTAGTAGTATGGGGTGAAGGGGGAGGGCGGGGGAGGGGTTGAAAGGCGATGAAAAGAGAAAGAGAAAAGTGGAAAGAAGAAGAAAGAATGAAAGAAAGAAAGAAGAAGAAGGGTCTCGTCCATCCGTCCATCTTCTCATCGTTGGGATGACAGGTGCCGGGCCCCTCGTTAGACAAATTAAGCTACGTTCCTGGGCTCTCGCCTCGTTGGTGGCAGAACGTTTCTCTGTCTCTATTCATACGTTCTTTATCTCTTCTCTCTGTCTCACGTGAGCTCGTTCGGGACTGGTTTCGAGTGGACTGCAAACACTCGTGCAGCAGCGGTAGCAGAGGAAGCGGTGGTGGTGGTGATGGTAGTGGTAGTGGTGACGACGGCAGCAGCAGCACCATGCACCAGCATCAGACCAGCACTAGCACTAGCACCAGCACTAGCACCAACAGTATAACAGCAAAATTTGAAGCATAACGAATCTTCCGCATTAACCTTCTTACCAGAAATGGGAAATAATTATTTGACTGTAGGAACTCTAATTATTTTTTTTAGGAACAAGTAACGTTACTTTTTTTTCTACATTGGTTTCGTTTTATGAAAAATATTATCTTCGTTTTATCTCGAGGATAGAAATAGTTGTTCGATCGTAGGAATAAATTACGTTAGAACTTCTCTCATAACGTGAATTCTAATATAACGCGTTATTTAATCAAATAATATAATGCAGGAAGTTTTTAGATTTTGAAAAAAAATTATATTTCCGTTGAATATGTATTATATCGTTGGTTTTATCGCGATCGATTTATTTTCCTGTTTCCCAATTATTTTATTTTTAATCATATTACGATATCAAATATAGAGTTTATGGAAAATACAAATTTTCACGATACGTTAACGTTTAATACGTTTAATCGATTGTAAATTATCTTTTAAAATATCAAATTTTGTATCGTTATAGAAATTAATCACTATTTATTGTACTTATTCAAAAATTAGCGGGTATCATTTTTTTACATATGTTGTTTTCTTTATTACGAGAAAAAAAATGATTACTATTATTAACAGATTACTAACTCATCATCATTATTCAATATTTTCTCCCGTCGGATATTAAAATGTCGACCGATTTATAAATCACACATTCTCAATCATAAACTTCATTTATAAAGTACTCG